TGGCCTACATTAATTGGGCTAAAAAAATACATTCTAAATTGTGTTTTCCATTTTTTCTTTTTTTTGTGGTTGTTCATTAGATTGAAAAGGGTGTATATTTCAAAACTTGGATCAAACAAATGGCCATAAGATGGTTTTTTTAAGGTTATTGCATCATATTACTATACAACGGTTGCATGATATCGTTGCCCTAAAGGGAAGCTTTACATGTGACCCTGCCTACATATAAAGTATATTGATGATCCCTACTATTAGCTATCAGATATGAGTAGATGGCTAGGACATCTAAACTCACAATGTCATAGTGGTTTATTTAAAATCTTTATTTTATAAATCATTTTGAAGCGAAATTTGGGGCATACATACATCTGACAAGGGTGCACATGATAAAATTAATAAAATTATTTTTCTTGCTAAAAAATTACCAAAATTACACTAAAATTTTTGGGGGAATTTGGTATTTTATTTTCACGATAAATACTTTTATTTTTATTTTTATAGATGCTCATCAATAAGAAGATGGGATGCCCCAAATTTCACTGAAAATGGTTTATAAAAAAAACTTAAAATCAGACAATATTTTTGCATGACATTGTGACCAACGCAATCTTAGTTGTCCATTCAGATCAAACAGTGAGAAGTAGGGTCACATAGTTTATATGTCACAAAAAAAGCTTTTCCTCAATCAAAAACTATAGTTAAAGTCAAATATTCATGTCTTAGGGTGAAATAAGTAAGTGAGCAATGATTTAATGCAATCGTTGTATAGTAATACTTATAGCCATTTGTTTAATCCAATATTTGAAATATACACTCTTTTTATTCTAATGAACAATTACAAAAAAGAAAAATTTAAAAATACAATCTAGAAAGTATTTTTTTAGCCCAATTAATATAGGCCGTTCATTTTGGTGAGACGTTTGGATCTAGGCCTTAGAAGGATTTTTTCATTTTCAATTTTGTTGGATGGCTTTATTATCATTAGATGAATAATGTTAAAAAATAAAAAAATGATTTTGAAATTCACAAAATGGTCTAGATTCGTTTTTGGAGGGAACTCATTTTGACCATATCTAGTGTTCAAATTGATTTTTTTGTTTTTTTTTTAGGATTGATTATTGAGATGAAAAAAGTGTGTGTGTAAAATTTAGGATAATACAAATGCCACAAACATAGTTTTCTAAAAGTATCATTATATTATACTATGATACAACTGTTGCATTAGATCATTGCTCTAAGTTAGTAAATTTCTATAAAAGAAAAATGTCATGCAAATTCATGTACCATCTATTAAATTTGGATTGTCTGTATCAATTTTGGGCCTCTTGTATCGATAGTCGAGCCAAATTTATTGAAAATATGCTCGCCCGCACCAAAATAAGTGCCTTGGCGCCCGTATAATAACCGGATCATGTGTTAAAGGAAAATGTTTATATAAGGGTGAGCGTCTAAACAATCAAATTAATGTGTACCTAAATTTGTTAGAAGAGTTTATTTCGATGCTCAAAAATCTCCAAATTGATCATATCAACCTCAAGATGTATGGACATTATAAAATATGGATTTCAAGTCTTGGAAATAGTGCATCTTGTAATCTATTTTTCGGACTGCCAATTTTCGAGACTTTCAAGTATTCATAAAACTACTCATTCTGCACTATTTTGTCTACACGATTTTTGAAGCTTTAAATTTTATATTTAGATATGAAAATAAATTTTCATACCATCTTAAAGATTTTCAGTAATGAAACAATATCTCAATACTATTTGAAGGGGCACCTTACTTTAATTGTTTAGGGCCTCATCCTTACAAACCAAACCCTTTGTTAAATGATTAAGGACCAAAGGCATTTTGGTAAAAAAAAAAAAGGATAATTATGGTAATTTTGCCATTTGTGAAAGGGAAAAGTTTATATAGATCCTAGGCGCTAAACAATCAAATTAGAGTCCATCTAAAAAATTTCACTAGAAAAGATTGTTTGATGCCCACATATCTTTAAATTGATCATCTCGACATCAAGATGCACGGACTTGAGAAAAAAATGGATTTCAAGTTTTGGAAATAGTGCATATTGTAATACATTTTTTTACTGTCAATTTTGAAGATGTTCAAGTTTTTATAGATCTGCTCGATCTATACTATTTTTAAGCTTTAAATTTTATAATTAAAAATGAAAATATATTTAAGGTTAGACAAAGATTTAAAATATTAAAACCACATTTCTCAAAACTATTTGAAGGTGGGGTCTAATTGATTGTTTAGATCATCGGCTCCATACAAACCACACTCTTTGTCAAGAGGGTGAGGCTCGTATAAAGTTGCCTTCTTATACGGTAGAAGTCACCATCTAAAATTTGTTTTAGCATGTAATTCAAAAACATTATGATGGCTTAAAAATCTATTTTCCTTCTTTGTTATAAAATTTAAATTTAAAAAATGGTATAAATGGTATAAATTTTTAAAAATGGTACAAATTCTAAAAACAAACGATTCAGATTACTTATTGTAAGATATATCATTTTTAGAACTTGAAAATCTTTTTTCTTTACATTTTCATATATCTCTTTTTTCGTTTTTATTTTCATTTTCATATATCTCGAAGTTGAAATTATTAGTTGGAGGGTTCTCCCAAGCCAAAATACTCTCCTCTATAGGATATTTGAGGTGCAATACGCCCTTAAATAAATTTGTTGTCAGTTGGATGTAGCAATTTAAGGGGTATTCCGGTCATAGAAAAGGGTATTTGAGCCGTTTGCAAAGGCATTGTGTAAGGGTTGCAATAGACTTGGACTTGACCCATGACCCAATGGGTAGACTCATCCTGGGTCTGTGCATAGGTCTAAAAATTGGAACTGGG